AATGTGATTCTTTTAGGAAGATTCTAACTTTTGAACATCATTGCAGTGACACAGTGGTTAGAGTGCAGTACTGCAGGCTACTACTGCTGACTGCCGCCTGACTGCAATTTGGCAGTTCAAATCTCACCAGCCTGAAGGTTGACTCCAACTTTCATCCTTCTGAGGTTGGTAAAATGAGGAGCCAGATTGTTGGGGGCAATATGCTGACTCTGTAAACCACTTAGAGAGGGCTGTAAAGTACTGTGAAGCCGTATTTAAGTCTAAATGCTATTGCTATTCAACCAGAAAAGCAAACCCCATACTAGCAGTGCCTCCACTGCCTTCATTTTCCTGTGTGATTCTTTAGTGATTCTTTAGCGTATTGTCAAGATCATTTCCACAAACAGCATTTTCACTGCCTTACCTGGGTGATAAAAACAAAGCTGGATGTGTTTATCAGCATCCTCATGGCACTACAGTGTAATTCTTCAAAAGACAATCTAAGCTTTTCATGTATATTTTATACAGTATAAAGGGTGAATGAAATAATGAAGGTCCACATAGTATTAAAAAAACATAGGGAGGAGCTCGGATGCTGTTCTGCAAATATGCAGATTGTTAAACAGAATAGAGGTAAGACGAAATCTTAAAGTTTTGAAAAGTTTAACTGCCATAAAGCCTCCCAGGAATTCTCCAAGTGCCACCTTCTGGAAGCAGTCATCTAAGGTTAAAGAGAACAGCTATACAGATTCACTGCCAAAACCCTAACTCTGGCAAGCCCTTCAGAAGTATTTGATAGATCATGGCATCAAAAGCCACTAACAGGCCCAGGAGTCCAGTTCAACCAAGATCAGCCACCACCCCCTTGAGCACTTCATCTACTGGTCTATACTGTAATTACTCAGTTTATTTTGGGTCAGAAATGGAAGGGAAAGGTTGTTTTTCTCTTTCCTCACTGTATCCCTTGAACTTTATCCAGTTGTTTCTTTTTCTGAGTAATTGGAACTTGTTATGTTCTAATAGTCAACATCATACTGTGATATGACTGCAAGAGTTTTGAAAGCTAATCATTCATATGTTCCATGTTTCACAATGTCATAAAATTACCCTGCTTCATTTTTCTGCTTATATAAGAAGCATGTGCTTTCCCCAACAACATCCCAGAAGTGAAGTATCACTCCTTTGAAACCCATTTTATTTGGCAGCAGACTGAAGTGGTGATTGCTCAAAAGAGCAAGTATAAAAGCCATCAGGAAACCTACCCTTATTTTCCAAGGTAAAATAATGTGAGGAAGAATGAGTTAAGCATGCATTAATTGTTCTAGAAAGGTATATACAAGGCACAAATAGGTTGTAACATCTCAGATTTTTTCTTCCACAATGAAGGCATAAATAGGTGGAATATTTAAATTAATTTAAGTTAACCAACAAGGAATTCACTAGCAGCACTATCACACAAAGATGCAGGCAACTAAGATTATTAAAATTCTTCTAATGAAGAATTTTCCTTTCATCACATAAACATAAGGACATACACAAACCATGATACAATGTTAATTTACTTTTTGAAAATTATTTTAGAATGTATGATCTATAAGAATAATTTAAAATGCTATTGAATAATTATATAAACTAATGTTTTTCAAAACAAATTAAAAGTGGCTACTTATTTCAATATATCACTTAGATCTTGATGGGGGCAGAGCAAATCTCATTTTAAACCAGCATTATATCTGGCTCTTATAAATTACAAACTTTGAAGGACTTTTATACTGATGTGGTTTAATATCAAGGTTGGGGGGATACCTCAAAATACCCTATACTTTATCCCTGCAAAGATGGGAGCACTGGATCATGGGATCATATCTGCTATATGGTAATTTTTACCAAGGCACTCCCAATGCGTTACTTGCACGTTTTCCCAGCTCATTTCCACATCAGACAAAGGAATTCTCTATGTGGCTTTTTTGTCAGATAAATATTCCAAGATCACAAAACAATACAATTTTGTATTTGTAGCTTGTAGAATTCTTGTGTTGTTGACAGCAAAGTAGCCCTTTTTATGTCTTTCATGTGTTACATTTTAATTTTTTAAATGAAGTTTGGATCAGTGACTTATAATGAAGTTTGACTGGACTTAACATGACTTGCTTAGCCATGATCCACAAGATTTAAAGATTAACATAATTATAAAGAGATGTGCAAGAAAGCACTCAAATCCTACAGTCTTGTTACACAGTCTACTTAATCAAGCTATTCTATTTTTTAAAAATTGCAGTATCTTTATAAAACTATCTACACCAGGGGTGTCAAACTCACGTCATCATGGTGGCTTCACGTGACAGATCGGGACTTCTTCCCCCTTCACTAAACCTGGCATGGGCGATAGCATGTGATGCATCCAGCCCAGGGGTCAGGAGTTTGACAGCCTTGATCTACACAGAGATATCTAGAACATAATCATTATTGCTGTGTTTGTATAACACAATTGGCCAACTCATCTTATTACTCCCATGAGCTGGTGACATGCAATCATGGATCATTCAGTCAATTAGGAAATGGCATTTTATTAATCCTCCCAGTCACCGAAAAAGAGATTGTGAGGCCGTACCTGATGTATTTTCTTCTACTTAGCTATAAGAAACTAACAGCAGCTGGGGACAGAGTGCCTAGAGAAGCCCCATTTTCTTTGGTTTCAGGAATAGGAAGGGAAAATTAATCTGGAAATCATTTTCCCCAATACCATTGACCAGAGACAGTTTTGTGCTAAACAACTTTTTGATTAGTTATCAGAGTTAATTAACTAGGTCAGAATGTTTGTATGAATTATGATAACACCTGACTTGTTCAAGAATGTTCTGTGAATAGGGCCAATAACATTCAGACAAGATAGTAAGTACCTGTAGTAATAGCCTTCCAATTAATGACACTGCACTCATATTCATATTTGTACATTTTATAAATCTCTCCATGTTTCTGAATTTGCGTCCACCAAAATACATAATGTAATTGCCAGATTTATGTCATAAATCATTGACATGAGTCACAGGGTTGTGCATGGCTCATTAGAAGGAGGCATGTGTAAAACAGAGATCCATAAACAGGTACAATGGGTAGCCCTTTCAATTCCTTGGTTGGCTTTTTAATTCAGTTTCATCTCAGCATTGGAGATGAATGAGCTAATTGCATCAAAAATTATTACTAAAGGCTACCGGAAAGAAGCAAACTCAGAACACAAACTTACATGGAAACATCCCAAGGAACCTCAAAACGAATAGCACTCATAAGGACCTTTTACTATTCAATCTATTTTTTTTCACCCAAAACTAATGTAAGTGTTCCCAAAGTGGCATCTAAGGCATCCATAAGCTGTGGATAGCTTTTTGCACTGAAGGCTATGCCAGAAAGATTTTTACTAAAGTTGCAAAGCAAAATGTCAACATTCAGTATCATCTTCATTTCCAAGAATGTCTATGGGCCACAAATAAACCCCATGTTAATAGGTAGCTACTACACAGTAAATATGCCCACCTGTCTGGAAAAGGTAAGGAGTGGCAATAGTGTGATAAGTAGCATTCTTGTAAATCAGTGATACATCATTTTTTAAATGACCCTGGGCATTTATGTGCCCAGAAGGCCCCCAATTTGGATAGCCTTGCACTGGCAATATTGGCACATTGCGATTGTCCCTCAGACAAAAGGAAGGGCCATTTTAGATGTAACATGTTTGCAATAAATCTGAAAAAGTTATTTTCCTAATTGACAAACCCTTTAATATATATACATATATATATTATATATATACAGCCCTGATTAACAACACGGCAAAGGATCCAACACAGTAAAGGATCCACAAAACTTTTGAGCTCAAACATTGATTTATCTGAATGGAAGTAATTCAAAAGTACTGTCTGTCACCCTTAATATTTCAGCCTCCTTATGGATTCTTGCATTACATGTGTGAAAAAGAACAGTTTGGAACAAAACAGCAAAAACCTTGTAAAATCAACAGTACATTCTAATCAAAAACAGAAACACCCCTGTTTCAGTCTCCAGTTGAGCATAAGTCAGACAAATAACAGATTTACATTTACTGTCAAAGACCATTGAAGTATGATGAATTTTAAAGCATTGAGATTACCATGTCACATATTCAACTTTTCATCCTTCTTGCATACGCACCCCCCCCCCACACACACAAACAATGCTATGAAAAGTTTCTTAGGGAAAGGACAAGATGTAAAGCAAATCAGCAAATCAAAGGGCAACCTAGCCATCAGCTTTAACAAGCCCTGCTCAGATTTCCAAACCTCGGTCCCTGCTGCCTGTCTTCCCTCGTCTTTCTTTCGCAGGCGTGTGGTTTGTTTCGCCTTTTTAAAAACTTTTTTTTCCCAGCAAGTCAAGGGCTTCTTTCAGACGAATAAGCTACGACAGAGCAGAAAGCATCCACCTTCCGCTCCCTCCTTCCCCCACCCCTCACCAAAAAATAAAAGAAAAGAGCCTGCCCTGCGGAAGAAAAGTAAAGGACAATGCCTAGGCTACCGTCGCAAATGTCAGATCAGAGCAAATTGATCCGGGAGGAGGGTCTCTCAAAGCCCGCCAAGCGCATCTCATTTGATTGATGAGGGCAGGTTGGTGAGCATATATTCCCTTTCAAGAAAGACAGGCATTAGTTTTAGTTATGCCCAAAGAAGACCCATAAAAATAAAACCCGTGCGCCCGCGCCCACGACCTCTTCTTACACGACGATTTCTAGCCCACGAAGGGATATCGTCTCATAATCGATCAATCCGCCTTTTTCTTTCAAGGTACCCAAAGTTCGCTTAAAAGTAGCTGGAAAGCTACCTAAACTGTTCGGAGGAAGAGATGCTATTGCACCGACGCACATATAAATACCCCTTTAATGTCTTTTTTCCCCCCTTCCCTTCCCTCCCCGGCTCAAAAAAAAACACAAAACAAAAACAAAAACGGGACCTTCTGCAGCTGGAAGAAAGGAAGCGAGAAGTGGGGACGATGCGTACCTTTCGCTGCGGCGGTTAGTTCATTTCTCCACCGCCCCTCCACGGGAGGGGGCTTCCTGAAAAAGGGAGGGAAGGCTGAGGAAACGGAGCCCTCCTCCTTCTCCTCTCTTTCTAGTGTTTTTTTTTCTTTCTTCCCTGTCAATGGCCACGCTGTGAGGCGACAGAGTACTGGATTGCCCCCCTCCCCGCTCCCCTTTGCTTCAGCCCCCGCCGGCTTTTTATCCCAGCCAGTCAGCTTAGCGACGGCGCCGTCTGCTGAGACGGCCCTGAGGGCGAGCGAGCCTTAGGCGGACGAGCGGCGGGCGGGAAAAGAGGCGGCTCGCCCTACCTGGGCAGCTCCCTCGCTCCCTCCTGACGGCAAGGAGGGAGAGATTTGCGTTTTGGGGCCCTTGCGCGATACCAAAACAGAGAACCCGAGCGTGCGTGCCTCCCCTCCCCCCCCCAACCCGGGTCTGACCCGCACTTGCTGTTAATGGGTGCTCCAAGATGTGGAAGTTTCTCCTATGGAAAATGAAAGACTCGGGCCTTTCCCGCCCTCGTTGGAATCTTATGCTCAGCTTGACTGAGTTTCCTAAGTGTATAATGAAAGGAAGCAGTTTTCTTCCCTCATATGGCTATCTATCTATCTATCTATCTATCTATCTATCTATCTATCTATCTATCTAT